TTAGATAGGGAACGGATATAGGCCTGTTCATGCTAACCTCCAACTGACATGTATTTTGGCCTTTCTCATGCTTGATAACCACTCACCCACAGTGTTTGCAATCCAGGTTATTCAGTACTCTGAAGGTGTACAGTGTATCATTATATGCCATTTCAGTGCAGTCCAACCTCATTTTTTTCTGTCTTGGTCCTATTAAGTATCTTGAATTATATTGAGTTATTCTATCTCTGTGTAGTCCAAAAAGGTACATTTTTCAAGTTATGTGAATTCCAGTGAAACAGTTATCAGCACTGGTATTGTTCTCAGAAATGCTTGTTCTGACGTGAAAACAGCTCCTGGTTTCTCAAGATCTCTGGATTCCCTTCCACTAACTTCAGCTTCTGATTTGCCTTCTCAAACAAAATTAGGTAGTCTGTCACCACCAACCCCCCAAGATAATTGGACTGCAATTCCCAGAGTGCCTTAGCATTGATGATGTTGCCTAGATTGCTGGGAGTGGTAGTTAAAAATATCTGGAAGGTGCCAGGTCGCTTACTCTTGTTGCAGATTGTGAAAGAAAATCAGGGGTTGTAACTATAAGAAAACAAGTGGTTTTAAATAAGGCTGTAAATAAGGACTAAGGAAACAGTATGAATCATCTTGTATGGAATTTTAATTGTTGTAAGCTGCCCCGATTGGTTGACAGAGGGGCAGGGTACAAATTGTTGTTGTTGTTGTTGTTGTTGTTGTTATATAAATACCATGGTATGTTAATTGAATTATTTTTGTAAATACCATAGTAATGGAATATTGAGGATATAAAAACACTTTTGGAAGTGCCAGAAAAGTTGTGCTGTATGCAGCCTTTCATAGCCCAGAGAGTGATGTAGTATGTATGCAGCAGAACTCAGAAAAGTTCTTTTTAGAGACTGCACCTCCCAGAATCCCCCAGCCAGGATAGCTACTAACTGTGCATGTTGAGAGATTCTGGAAATTATAATCCACAAAAGTTCATTTTCCATGTTTTGATATGAACCTGCATTGCTAAGCCAAGCTAAAACTGCTAAAGCAAAGTTATCTTGTCCCTAAAACTGGCTGACAGCTCTCTGAAAACTGTTGTAAGTTTGCTGGAGAAAGCAAGCATAACTGTGAAGCATTATTTAGGAGCCTGAACCAAACCCCTCAAATACCCATTGAATTATCTGAAAATTCATCCTTTGTGTCGAAGAATCTTCTAATATCTTGATGTTGTTGTAGATATCTTTTCAGTTCAGTGACATTTCTTCATTGTTCCAGTATTGTTCTAAGTATAATTTCAAGTTATGAATTACTGTGCCAAGTCTTAGTGTTCACACCCAGCCAAAGAGAGTCTACATTTCCAGGGTTGCATTGAAACTGGGTTGTATCCAGGGACAAACACAGAAGTGCTTTATTCTGCTATTCAAGCAAAGTGTATTCTTAAGAACTTGAGGCACCAAAGTCAATAGGGCATATTAAGCATAATGGCAAAAGTGCCTAGCTCAAAAAGGGCTAGGTTTCGCATGGCATAGGCCATAAAAAATAACTGAGTATCCATAGTTAGTTGTTTTTCCCCAAGGACTGGATAGACTTCTTCCTAGACCAGTTGTGGAAAAAATGTCCAAACGATACTTGACTGCAACTTCCATCAGCCCTAGCTACTGTAGTTAGTCAATGGTAAGGAATCATGAGAGTTGTGAACCACCAACACTGAGAAGACCATATAATCTCCATTCCTGTTCTAGAAGCTCCTAAAGCTTCTTTCTCAATGAAAAATGTGTCCTTTCATCATCGTTATCACATCATTAACCATTTCTAATTCCCTGTGAATTATGAACCATCTAGAAAGCCCAGTAGAAGGAGTGGGAATAACAGGTGATGCAGTATTACAGAAGCTACAGGTGTGGAATAATAGATCGGAAAATCTCTAGGAACTCAAATGAATTTTTTTTTTTAAGCATTTAGAATTTGGAGTGCTAGAATGGCATCTTTCATTAGATGTGGGCCTGTACACTGTAATGGTCAGAGGCTGTACTATCACGTAAATGTAGGGTTAGATTGCTGTGCAAAGGGGGTATTATTGCACAGTAATGAAGAGAATAAGTCTGAAGGTGTCCTAATGCTCATGATGTTCAATAGCTGAAATGTTCCCTCATCAGATATGTATTTTCTAAAGTTCTGTCTGAGTTTCACCAACAGGCTTATCAGGAAACCCTTGGAGGGATTGAAGAACAATCGGTACCTCTGAAAATGGAACATCAGAGCCTGGAAGAGTTATCTTTTGGACTACAACTACAGGCTGTATAGCTATTGGCTGGGAAATTATGGGAGCTGTGGTAAAAAAAAAAGTAATGTTTCTCAGCTCTGGTGCAAGTATTCCATTTGGAAAGATGGGGGGCCATTCACACTAGACAATTATAGCACTATGATTCCACTTTAATGGCCATGGCTGCATCCTATGGAAACCTAGGATTTGTAGTTTGAAGCACTAGAGCTCTCTAGCTGAGAATTCTAAAGACTTCTCCCTAAACTGACAATCCCAGGATTCCATAGGGGAACCTATAGAACAGTTAAAGTGGAAGTTTATCATAGTGATATAACTGTGTAATGCGGAAAGGCCCTGACAGTACTAAAATTTCTCTTAATTCTAATGAGGGGCTAACAAAGCAGTCTTTCCAGTATGAACCCCACAGCCTGGTTGCAGTGCAGTGTTGATTTACAAGTGCCTTCCTGGATTGTGAAAATTCATGCCAACAAACAAGAGGGGTTCACGAAATAAAAGCAGCTTTATGAGGAAGGGGTTTTTTCCCCAAAAAATACAGAGATTGCAAGTGCAGTCTTTGTTTCTTCCCCTGCTTTAATTGCAAATCATCCTTCCTTAACTTTTATAAATGTATTAGTAAATGTTAAGAACTATATTGTACTTGTCTTTTTCAGGGACTGCAATAGTGCTGGTCTGGGCAGTGATTTGGTCTATTACAGGCGATGAGTGTCTTCCGGGTGGGAATCTCTTTGGAATTTTGTTCCTCTTCTTTTTTGCTGTAATTGGTGGTAAACTTATGGGTCTAATTAAATTCCCTGGTTTGCCTCCCTTTCCTCCACTTCTTGGTAAGTATGTTACTGTCAGATAGAGTAATATAATTTTACTGTTACATAGTCTTGATCTCAGATATAGCCCTGTTAGTCTGTAGAATCAGTATGTAGAGAAATCTTGTAACACCTTTGAGACTAACTAAAGAAAGAAGTTGGCAGCATGAGCTTTCATAGATTTAAAGTCTACTTCCTCAGATGCATTCCTCAGATATTCTTGATCTGTGAGACAGCAGGAGCACTCAGCCTCAGGCAGATTATAACCTGCTAGAATAGCCTCATGAAAAAGTGGACAGGTCTGCTGTACCTTTAATGGTTGTTTAGAAGAGGAAATTTCAGCAGGTGCGGCTATGAACATTTGCTCTTCTACACTGCTGCTAAAGATACAGGAGCTCTGCCCTCTTTTTCATGTGACCACCCTATTCCCTATTGGTGTAAAATTAGGGCTACAATTTTAATGTTCAATTAAGCAAATTAAGTTGTCATTGATTTAGCTTTCTTAATTCATGAAGACAAATTTTAATTACTAGGTCCATTAAAGTTAAGAGTGGATTTGCTAATTATTTGTCACATCGATTCTTTAGGTGAAATTGTTTCTGTGGGAATTTCTCTAATTAAAAAAAAAAGATTAAACATTGGCTTACCTTGTAAAATTGTGTGTTTGTGAGAGTTAAGGACTCATTGCTGAAGGCTTCTCGCTTTGTTCAGAGCATTTCAGATATTTTCACTACTTGTGATGCTAATAAGATGCGTCTTTCTGTTCATTGTAGGGATGCTACTTGTTGGATTTCTCCTCAGAAATATCCCATACGTCACTGACATAGTCCAGATTAATGTGAAGTGGGGAGCAACCTTGAGGAACATTGCCCTCTCAGTTATCTTGGTCCGTGCTGGCCTTGGCCTTGACCCAAAGGTGGAGTATCACCTTTGCTTAATGCACACAAAATGTCATGATCAGGAAAGCTAGACAGGGGTATGTTTCTGAGTAAAATAAAGCAATGACTGAGTTGTACCACTTGGGAATGCAGATTTGGATGTTTCCCCAAATAAAAATTCCCTACTATGTAAAATAATAGCATGTTAGGAAAATGCTAGACTGAATTCTTCCTGACAATTAATGTGTGTGTGTTTTAATTGCATGGCTATCCTACCTCCCATGTTCTTTGTAACAACCCTGTGAAGTAGTTTAGGCTGAAAGATTGTGGCTGGCCCAAGATCACCTAGTGGACATCATACCTAAATGGGAATCTGAACCTGGATCTCCATGGTCCTAATCCAACATTTTGTCTACTGTACTGCACTGACTCCTTAACTAAAGAAATCTGGAGGGAATTTACTGTGTGGAGGAGCATTTAGCCAAGGTTCAGGTTATTGAGGTACAGCTTCAACAGACATATCACTAATGGCAGCTAGACTCATGACACTAGTTATGTTTATTAGTTACATTTCTATTCCGCCTTTCTTCCAGTGAATTCAAGATAGCATAGATGAGTCCTTTTGCACACTTTGTCATCACAGCCAACCTGTTAACTAGGTCAAGCTGAGACAAGGTCCAGCATCTCAAGCTGAGACAAAATCACAGATTAAGCATTTCATGGATGCATGTGGACTAGAACTTGGATCTGCCAAGTTCCAGGTTATACTCTTAACCATTGTGCCCTCTGGTTCTAGAGTAGAGACATGAACCTGTCTGTGAGATGGTGAGAAATCTGTGAGAATTCTCTGTTTAGGGAGGACATCCAAGAAGCATGATTCAAAGCTTGCCCTGAACTGCATGGGGAAAATAGCCAATCTGTTTGTGAAAATGTGTTTCCCCATACAGAACTGTTTCTGTGGGTTGTTAACATTTTTGCCTTTTCTTAATACCAGTTTTATTTCTGAACTATATTCTGATGTCAACTTAAATAAAGAGAGGCAGTGTGGTAGAGGTTTGGATGTTGGACTAGTACCCTGGAGACCAGGGTTCAAATCCTTGCTTAGTCATGGAAACCAACTGGATGACCTTGGGCAAGTCACACTCTCTCAACCTCAGGAGGGCAATGGCAAACATACTCTGAACAAATCTTGCCAAGAAAAACCCATGATAGGTTCACTTTAGAGTTGCCATAAGTCAGAAACAACTTGAAGGTACAACAATTTAGATCAGGGGTTGGCAACCTACAGCCTGTGGGGCAGCTCCGGCCCCCAGGGGCCTTTGGACCGCCCCCCAGGGACCCCTGCCGCAGCTGCCGCCCACCGCCTCTGGGCGCGCTCCCGCTCCTGGGAGGCACCATTTTGGAAAGCCCACAGCTGTGCACAGGTGCCATTTTTAAAGGCCCCACCGCTCGAAGATCAAGCAGTGGGACCTTTCCAAGGTCCCTCTGCTTGATCCTGGGGTGAATCCGCCCCAGAATCAAGCAGAGGGGCCTTGGAGGACTGTTTCCAAGGCTTCCCTGCTTGATCCTGGGGCGAATTTGACCAAGGATCGGGGCAGGGGGGCCTTGGAGGGACCTTGGCAGCTGTTAGGGGTGTGTGCGCGCACCCCTAGCTCCTGCACAACCGGCCCCCACACCATTCCCCCCCCGGACCCCCAGCAACAAAGGTTGCCGACCCCTGATTTAGATAAACCTTTCATTGAGTTTGGATGTAATGTCAAACCATGGTGCAGAGTTAAGAGCCTGAACCTCAGCAAGCCTTGGTCTTTGGTGATGACCCTTCCCTTCTTGCTCTCTCCCTCTCCAGCAAGGAGATCAGCAGTTAATGCTTCTTTCTTAGATGAGCTGCTTCTTCACAAATTGTCAGAGAACTCTTAACTATGATTACTCTTAACTATATTTAGTTTAAACAAGCCAGCATTATAAACAAGAGTTTGAAGTTGTCTTGTTTTAACAAATTATTATTAAGATTAACCATGTTTGCCAAAATTTAAATAATATACAATAAGATGAAGCTAATCTAAAATAAAAGTGAATGTTTCCAAGCTCCTCCTTGTGGACGTACGAGAATTGATGGGGAGCATATAATATAATAATAATAATAATAATAATAATAATAATAATAATAATAATAATAATAATAATAATAAATTTTTATTTATAGCCCGCCCCTCTGCGCAGCAATCGGGCGGGTTACAGCATTTAAAACAATCAGAATTAAAACATTCCCTCATCCCACAACCCAACCCTCCCATCCCCTTAAAACAAAATTAAACCAAGAAAGAGTTAAAAACAACAATACAATAAAATAAAACAGTACAACAAGGAGTCGGCAATAATAAAAACAGGAGAAAGATTCATCTCCCATCTAGCCGCAACTATTCTGGGAAGGCCTGCCGGAAGAGATCCGTCTTTATTGCTTTTTTAAAAGCAGCAAGAGTAGTAATGAGATGGATCTCATCCGGCAGGCCATTCCAAAGTCTGGGAGCAGTCGCGGAGAAAGTCCTCTGGAATCAGTGTGTGAGTTTTATTTTCATATGACTGAGCTTTAGAAGACAAGTCTATTGCAAGATCAGCTCACTGGAGAAAGTCCTCTGTCCCACCCAAAACTTGAGAAAGTTATGTTTTTGAATTACAACTTCCCAAGTCATCCAGTCAGCGTACCAAGTAGTCATGCTGGTTCAGGATTATGGGAGTTAGATCCCAAAATGTACTTTTCTAGTGCTCTGCTTGTTTCTGACTGCACATGCTTGGATGGTAATATTTTGACTACTGTTTCCTATCTCAGCTTACACAAGTAGTGATAAACCTTGCAGAACCTAGGAAAGAAGATAAATACTAGATCCTTTGGATCCCGATACTTTTCTTCGGTGTAAAATAATTAAAGTTATGCAGAACAGAGAAAATCCAAAATGATGCTAGTGATTTCTCCCTGTGTTTCTCTCTCAGGCTCTAAAAAAATTAAAGGCCGTCTGTTTAAGATTGAGCATTGGACCTTGCCTCACTGAGGCATGTACGGCAGCCATTCTGTCTCACTTCCTTTTAAACCTCCCTTGGCAATGGGGCTTTATGTTAGGGTAAGTCGCTTCCCCCCCCCCCACACTTTTAAACAATGCATTTCTTTTTCTTGAGCTGAAGCTGGCTTCCCTCTTTCATGAAAGCATTGCCTGGGAGTGCTGCACCATATCTTTGTTAGTTCCAGACAAACAAAAGTTATTTTGAAGGACTACAACTAGTTACTTGGAAAAGATAGTTTTCTCAAACACAACTGGTGATCCTAGGTTGTAATAGTAATTGTTGTAATTTCAGAGCTCTAATTCCAAAAATTAACTTTTCCAATCTCTGTGCTGTAAAAAAAAAAAAAAAAGATGCTGTTGTGTTGTCTTGTGCTTTTTGAATCTCAGACTTAGAGCACAGGTTGGCAAATGAGCCCTACAGATCCTCAGAACCTTTATAAACAGATACATGTAGTATAACATTGTTCTGGAATGAAAGATGAGAGCTCAAAACTCACCATATTTTACTCAAATTAGGACCGCATTATTCAGTCAGACACTTGAAAAATTGATTTAAAAAGTGTCCCAGTTATATAATACAAGGACTGATAAGAATGGAAAACAGCAAATAGCAAATCTCATCTTAGAAGAGGCTTTCTCTTCCCCAAGCTACAGAGTCTACACAGAGAATGGACATCAACAAGAAACTGATACTGTATATGTTCAGATTTGTTCTAGGTGCAGTGTCTCCGGCTGTTGTGGTTCCTTCAATGTTGGTTTTACAAGGAGGAGGATATGGTGTTGAAAAGGGTGTCCCAACCTTGCTAATGGCTGCTGGAAGTTTTGATGACATCCTGGCCATCACAGGTTTCAATACCTGCTTAGGGATAGCCTTCTCTTCAGGTAATCAGCTACTCCCTAGAACTGATGACCTGCTTTTCTTGCTGATATTCCAATTTATTACTTTGAAATAGTGTGTGTAATTACATGGGTATTTGACATCAAAACATATTCTTCACTCCTACTTATAGCGTTATGTGATCCAGGTTTATAACCATTTCAGGCTTACAGCAAGGATGATGAAACTCAGACCCTGCAGCCAAATCCAGATCTCCTGGGATCTCATTTCCCTTCCTAGGGTAGCCAGCATGGCCCTCTTCCTTCCATCAGCAAGTTAAAACATTTTTTTGCCATTAGGCTTTTATAAACTGACTCAAGGTGGGCTTTTAATGGTGTGCAGTGCTGTTTTAAACTTTTGTAGTCAGTGTGGTGTAGTGGTTTGAGTGTTGGACTAGGACTCTGGAGAACAGGGTTCAAATCATGGCTCAGCCATGGAAACCCATTGGATGGCCTTGGGCAAGTCACACATTCTCAGCCTCAGAGAATGGCAGTGAGAAACTCCCTCTGAAGAAATATGCCAAGAAAACGTCACGATAGGTTCACTTTAGGGTCATCATAAGTCAGAAACAACTTGAAGGCACACAACAGCAAAATGTTGTCTTTTAATAGATTTCAAAATCTTAATATTTGTTTTTAATTTTTAGCAATTGTTTGTTTTAAAACAATTTTATAATTATGCTTTTATTGAAGCTTTTGTATTGTTGTAATCTGTACCTCATCCCCCTATTATTTGTTACCAAGCTTTCCCACAAGTTTTTCCTCAGTTCTTCTTTTTCAGCTTAGTTCCTGGCAGTAAGCGCTTTATGTTGTAACATGCTGGCATTTTTTATCCCAGTCATTTGCTTTCACCTCAACTATCACTGTAATGTAGCCCTTAAGTAAGAAATTGAATTTTGCCTTCAAGCTAGAAGTCTTTCACCTGTGGTTTAGAGAAAAGCAGAAACTGTGTTGCAATAGAGTAGCCTCCAAAACCCGTTTTCTTCTATACTACTCCCATAAGTCTGTATCCAGTTTTTAGTCCCAAATAGAGTAGACTCATTGAATCAATGGATTCAATGTAAGTGTTAACCAACCAAGCTCCTATTGTTTTACTGGGTTGTTTCTGGTTCAGGCTAACAACTGGATGTAGGTCATGGACCTAAATCCCATTACTACTCCCAACTAGAAGAGACTCACTGAATTAGTGGGACTTACATAAGTAAGGACTTAATGACAACTGGTTCAGTGGGTTTTTCTTTAGTTGGGACTAGAAGTTTTATTTAGGTCATAATCTCTAACCAGTCTGATGTTTAGTAATGCTGGCTAAAAATGATGAGTGTTGTAATCCAAAACATCTGGAGGGCATTAGGTTGGGGAAGACTACCATAACTAAAAGGCCTTTGGATTCTTTTCCTTCTTTCTTTGCCTTTTGGTTAAAATTAATCAAGACTTTTAGTCTTTTTTTTTTTCACAGTCAAAATTATGTCCAGAGGTAGCTATGTTGGCCATATAGCAAAATATAGTAACTTCCAAAATCCACAAACAGTGATACCTTTATTGGGACAACCAAAATGCACAAAATACATGTTGCAAGCTCTCAAAGCTCCATTGCCTTCTTCATCAGGCAAAGGTGTGCTTAAAAAACATACAGGAGAAGAAATATTACCGTGGTAGTCACAGGCTTGCATTTTCTGAAAATGTTGTTGTTGTTCTAAGGACGTTATCACACGTGGCCCACAAAGCTATAATAAACTGGAAATGACAAATTCTGAAAATAAACCAAAAATAAACCTTGATTCCGCAAATAGTTTTCACATGTAATTACCTTAATTGTGCAATTAAGGAAGGCTCCCCCTGAAACTGCAATTAACGTTCACACACAAGTGAGAAAATCCCGTACATGTACTAGACATG